TTTCATAACACCCTTCATGTTTAGTGGAGACAAATCAGATGATTTACACGAAAATGTCACTGCATTTCAAAATATCACTATGAGAAACCTAAACGACTACTTATGAACCAATACATAGTAAGTATAACACATTCTCAAACAGAATCACTTCCTTGATTTTTTGTGCACAATCATCAAACGTTATATTGAAAAAATACTCATATTTTCATTCAAATAGAAAAGAGTAGAAAACCACCAAAAGAATTTAGAGAAAATAATAGGTATTCTAAGTGCTGGATCAACCTTATTCAACATCAGACAGTATTAGACATGTTACATAATATATATAATAGTTTTATTGATAATAGGTGAACAAAATGTACATAAAAATCATAAAAAAATCACTCGAACTCAAACTCGAAATCATTTGAACATATCAATTACAAAAAAACTGAAATCTCTGAAATTCACAATTCTTGACACACTTCTGAACTGAGAGGTAGGTACTCAGCTTATGTGTAATAACTTGAGAATATCCACATACGTACGCCTAGCTGAAAAGAACATCATCAAATGGTGGCCAACAATTCCACGTATACTTATAGAGAAACATTCAGAGCAGCTTTCGACCTTTGACACCAGAGGAAGGATTATGGCAGGACTCCCTCATAATATTTCTCTTGGTAAGAGCTCCAAAACTCCAGAATGTATAAAAATGGAAATGGGTGCTGTTCAATTAGCCTGAATATGAGGAACAAAAATTGTTGAAGAATCAATCTATAAGAATGAAAAAACCATTACCATCATATGGTTGACAACACTCTCAGCAGTCTCAGGTAACTGACAATCATTGTGATCAAACTGATCACCGTCAGAGTGAAGATCATCGTTATCATAGATTGTGTATTGATTTGTTATAAAGTAAAGAACTCTGAATGATAAGAAGAACAGTGGAAGCCAAACACGACAGCAACATAATAATATTGATTGGGTGTACAATCTTTATGCTAGACCATACCACTGACCACTCACAACGTCCAAACTTGGAGGAAATATGTAAATATTTCCAATGAAGTACAGAAAACGAAGAGACCAGAATAACTTTTTCGAATTTGGCGTCTGTAAATATTGAGGTTAGGTTATTGAATCTCGTATTATTCTTCTTTTTAATTTGAAACATATTTATGCCACATACATGTTGATTTATAAGCTCATGTGACACAACGTTTCAAATTGATTTACAGGTTTACATTTACTACTCAAGTATCATATTTTGTTATCAACTATTATGTAAACCATTGACTCATAGACACATGCATGTATATATATATAGGTGCATGTGACACGACGTTTCATAATAATTTACACGTGACATATCCAATAAGTCACGTATACGTGTCTGCTAACTGCTCGTGAATTATATTCTCATGATTGACCGTGATGTTCCTACAGGTGTTTGCTGCAATATCCGATATGTAACTTTTTATGTGTCATTGAAGGTGTAGTTGTGCTCCTGCATGGTGCTACGTTTCAGACATATGCCATTGTGTGTTTTTTTACTGGGCTGTTACACTATCGAACTTCGTATTCTACACCTTCTCCAGTTGATTACGAGCTCGGTTTCCAGAAGTATGACTATATTTCTGATCAGTCATTTTGATTTCAAGAAGTATCAGATGTGTTTCAAATTAATCGATCAATTTCAAAATGCGTTTATTGCATTGCAAATTGAAGTCATTAATTTTGATTTTGAACTTTCGAAAGCTTCAATTATCACCGGAAATTTTTTCGAGAACAAATATTTTGAGAATTTTCCTGAGTCGAAGACGAGGAAGAATATGTTAAATATTATTGCTCAATCCCAATAACACGTCTTTGGAATATCATATAAATATCATATTTTGAAATACCCTGTATGGGCAAATGTAGATTTTTTTGACTCTTCTTCAAAGAATCAATTGGATAATGATGATGGAAACTGGATATACTGATCAGATTTCCTTCGAGAATATCGGTTAACCGCTGCATTATCTTATATCCGGTTTCTTATTGTTGAGAGTAAACGAGCTGCTGGTTATTTTCCACTCTTTGTTGTCTGAAGTTTCATTCGTGAAATGCCAAATGATTATTATTCTCTCACTCGTCGTTTATTAACATTCTTTCAAATAACACAACTTTATATTATGTTTATATTGTTCGGTATGAGAACCCAATTGAAATGAACACAAAGGTCAAAAAATGTGGTGAACTATATTATTCTCTCTTGATTCTGTTGAAATGTCAATACTGCAGTGTTTATTTTTTCATGGATACCAATTGAAAAGAAGTTTTGATAACTCTATCGGCTATTGAGTTCGAAATTTCATTCTGATAATAATCATCGTTCGTGAAGCCTTAACTCCACTTCAACTCCAACACTCTATCATCAAACTCGTATTATTAATTCATCAACGTCAATAAATACACCCTAAAAGCTTCGGAATTTTTTAGCAAACGGAAAAAAAAGTTTTGTTGCACCAACAAAATAATTTTGGTAATTTTTTTTGTGTTGAATTGAACACAATTTTGCGAAATCAACAAAATATATGTTCATTCCAAAATAAGCGACCTATTCAAAGAGACAAAATTATTTGATTGAGATATTTGCTTACTTGAACAAAAGTTTAATTTCATTCAACAACATTTATGGCTGAACCAACTATCAACTCATTGTTCAATCAATTATATTCATCTTGTCTATTCGACAAAATTAAATTGATTTTGACAAAGATTCAACTAAATACAACATTATATTTTGTTGAGGCAACAATCATTTCATTGTACAACCAATCAAATGTTCTTTTCTATTCGACAAAATTTAATTGATTATGACAACAATAAGTATAATTTGTTGAATCAACACATCACTTTCAAGAGATATGTTGTTATTTGTCATATTTTTTGTAGGTATTTTTTATCAGAATACCTAATTCATGGGTGGACTTGGCATGTTGCGTTAAATGAGATATACAGTGTGTCCCACTTACCATAACCACCATGGGTATCTTTTTAACGGTGAGAGATACGAGGTCGGTTAAATGACACCAAATGTGGAGTTTGTCAAGGCCAACTATAATGTGAAAAAATATTTAGATGAAATCTATTCGTTTTCGTTTGATACGCAAAAAACAGATCATGTTCATGTCTCCTTCGTAACTTCTTTATTTATGGAAATATTCAAATAGTAATTTCACATTCTCATGGCAATTTTTCAAAGTGATTTCGAAAAAAATATGAAATTCATACCAACTCTTCTAGAATTTGAGATATCAGCACCAACTTTAGTTTTTGAAATGTAGGTCATAGCTCACTATGACTTAGTTACAAATAACTTTTTTGCCTCTTACAGATGATATGGCGCAGTAATAGTATTGTGTTGATAACAACGGAGTAATCGACATTTATACAAAAACAAAAAGTCATTTGGAAGCCGCCATCTTGAATTTATAAATTTCATCAAAAAAATCATGATTTTCGACCTCAAAAACCCCCACTTACGGATTTTAAATGGAATCGGACCAAATCTTGTCCGCCTCTTGGAGCAGCTATTTTTTTTTCAATATCAACAAAAATTCCATAATGTATTGTCACCGGAATTATGAGCACCTGCCAAATTTCAAGTTGATCGGAGTTATGGAATTTTCGTTGAAATTAAAAAAAATGACTGCTCCAAGATGGCGGACAAGATTTGGTCCGATTCCATTCAAAATCGGTGAGTGGGGGTGTTTGAGGTCGGAGATCATGATTTTTTGTTGAAATTTATAAATTCAAGATGGCGGCTTCCAAATAATTTTTTGTTATTGTATAAATGACGATAACTCCGTTGTTTTCAACACAAAACCATAACTGCGACATATCATCTGTTGAAGAAAAAAAAGTTATTTGTAACTAAGTCATAGTGAGCTATGACCTACATTTGAAAAACTAAAGTTGGTGCTGATATCTCAAATTCTAGAAGAGTTGGTATAAATTCCATATTTTTTTCAAAATCACTTTGAAAAACTGCCATGAGAATGTGAAATTCCTATTCGAATATTTTCATAGATAAAGAAGTTACAAAGGAGACATGAAAATGATCAAAATCTGTTTTTTGCGTATAAAACAAAAACGAATAGATTTTATCAAAATATTTTTTCACATTATAGTTGGCCTTGACAAACTCTACATTTGGTGTCATTTAACCGACCTCGTATCTCTCACCGTTAAAAAGATACCCATGGTGAGCATGGTAAGTGGGACACACTGTATATAGAATGTAATATGGAGTAAACTTCAAAACAAATACAACATATAATCATCATGGAGACTGGCTGGACACAACACTGATGTTTCTCAAACATCATCGGCATTATCCAATATTCCAGAAACGTGTAAAAATAAAGAATGGAACAAGTTAGACATTATATCTCTGTTGACAGGTACCAGAATTTCGCTTTTTATAAAATAATTCTTCCGGGGAGAAAAGTGGATGAAAATAAGAATTCAGTCTCCGAGAAAGGACTGCTTGTCTTTTTCATATTTGTGTTTTGTGAACTTCTGAACAACCACTATGATCTCAAATTCTTCGAATCAAATATCATATAATTCGATTGACAGATATTTTATCACACTGGAAGTTTTCCTTAGCAACGCAGATCTAATTGTTGCTATGACTATACTTGCAACAGCCTACCAGGTGAAAATTTCAAATTTCACTTCAATAATTCTCTGATTTTCAATAAATTGTGATATTATCTCGATATTGAATACTCGTTGTTTTTTCAGTCATAGAAGAAAACAGTATATATTATACATATGGACAAATATTAGATTTCAGCTCTCGATTCGGTAGACGCACAACCTCAAGCAAAAATCTGATACTTTTTTCAGTTGTATAATAAAAAACTATTTCTTCGAAGAACATATCATTATTATGAAAACATAACATCGAATGCCTTATGAATAAGATCATATTGTGAATAATTTGTTGAATTGACTCTTACCTTTCTCATTGTGAAAATTATGTGCAGATAGCTGAAAACGATCACGCCCATTGGTACAACTAGTCCAAAGGCGAATAGATATAAAATATATGTCATCGCATTCATCGACTGCTCTTCCCAATTGACTGAACAGCTGAAATAAATGAAAACAAATATAGCGTTTGATGATGATAGTAAATAGCATTGCAGATGTATACATCAGTGATATATCTATTGATTCCAAGACATAAAAAATTAATTCGTGTAATTCTTATTAGGTGTGTATACTTGTACAATTGAACAGTTACCTATGACCTGCAACACACTGTCCGGAAACAAATGACTGGTTTCTCCGAAAGGGGGATCTAGGAGAATACTATAAGAGCACATTACTGTTGGTTTGCAGATGAAACTACTCATAGTATCTGGTGATCTCTGACTGAAGGAGAGAAATATCAACCTATCTTGAGTCCTATGCAACCGTATTTCAGTCAGAACTTCACGCCATTGATTTGTGTGTGGAGAGATTGAAAAAAACGATCTCACATAAAACGTTTAAAACACCTTCGGATAGCCAAGCGTCTCTGAAAGCTCGAACCGATCAACGTCTATACTGGTTGTGCACTACCAAAAAATACTCTATGATTGGAAGACACATGCAAGAACCCAGATTGCATAGGATACCCTATGGATATCCGATTCAAGTCCATTTGAAGTCGGGATATTCTTGAAGATGAAATGAATATTCATTAATCAGCAGATATCAGCAAGATATTCCAAATTGATATCCAAGTATTCGCATCTGATAATTATTCAGAACAAAGTGACCTCTGTAAATAGAGAGCTTTTCTTTGCCCAACTGAAGTCCTACAGTCGCTCGTAGATATCCTCTGGAATATTCAAGAATGCCTTGTGATGAACAGTGAAAAATGAATGTTTGAAGAAAAAAACAGTGCACTGGTTTGAAGATATTATTGAATAGCTTGTCTGAAATCGAAAGAACAATATCGATGATTTTGATTTCGAAACAAGCTACTTCGAAGTGAGGAATGAATTATTTTCTACTGATATTATTAGAATTTTGATCTCAGTAGAGATACCTTGGTCCAGTTGTTCTGATGCAAGGCTCTCATATTACCTGGAACATCTCACTCGTTTCGACTGGAAAATCTTGAAAAGGTGTGTATATCGCACTATAGACCGAAAATCATATTCTTCATCTGATACAATATTGATATTCTGAAATTGGCATATTATTTATATCACTTTGAGAAAATATGTCTCATAAAATATATCTCATAGTATTTTTGAAAGATCTAGCTCTCATCATTTCAAGAAATAATATCTTCTGCACAAGGTAAACAATAGTGATGATAATATTCGAAATTATTCTGAGTGATGATGCAATTTCACTATCCATATATTCACATGTTGCGTTAGTAGTGAATAAATATTTGCGTGTTGATGTCTTACCTAATTTCGAGTAGGTACTCACTTGGTGGTTTCAAAACAAGCGCATCGATAATCTTGAAATAAGTATTCAGTTCTTTCCAAATAGCATATACATTGAATTCAATGGAGATTCATTATATTCTCGCGTTCACAGTACTCGTTTCATATTGTCTAGATATCTTGCAGCATTTTTCTTTAACACATATTGTTGAGGAAATTTGAAGCAGCATCCGACAAAGGTATCATTATATCCTTTTTTGAAAAGAGTTGAGTTCCGAATCGAGATGACTTATTTCTCAGTTGTATCGAATATTTCTTAATGAATGAAGATGAGTGGAATTCCTTTTGGTATTGTCATTGATTTCGAAATTTAAGCTCTCACTGTGATACCTGGTAGATTCTGTCAGAAGTCAGAACTCTTTCCACAGTTCAGGTATCCTGTTGATGTTTAACAAAACTCAAGAAGATGAAACCACCTGGCGCCACCCTCTCCTCTGTGGAAATCTGCCGTTTCATTGCGTTCCATACTGAGAGTGGCCAGGAATCTAGACCAAAGAAAATTCTTCAAGTATTCCGATTGCAAAAAGCCGCTGAAGAATATGCCAAATGTTTCATGGGTGAATTTCCGCCTATATATACCATACGCAGCTGCATATTACCCTAGGCCAATGACTGCTTCCATCCTATAGGTTTGCGACCGTATAAATCCGTACCAGAGTATTTTTTTATTTCTTGAAGCGAACAAAAGGAAATTCCTATAGTGTAAGAAAAACATCGTGCGTACCTAAGGAGGATAGAGAGATGAGGTAGGCGTTGAAAATTTCCCCATATTTTAGAGGTTATAAGTTCTTGGGAATTGGCAAAGATTTCTCGAAGGTGTTAGCGGACCATTTTTGAATCAACAGTTATCTCCCTGGAGAAGTTCCCAGTTTCGGAGGAACCAGTCATCTTCATTCGGTATGACATATGGAGCGGATCGGTAACTCTTGGAGGAATAATGGAGGTCATTCCAAAAATGCTTTCACGTTCCATGTCCACCAGTAGTCTACTACGATCCGCAGAGGCCTGATTTCGTTGCGATATTTGAAATTTTATATCTCATTCATCTTGCCTTCCTCTTCAGAAATATGTGAAGAGGAGGTACAGATATAGAAAGATATCGATAGCTGCTGACAGTGTAGTGTGATGTGGTGCTAATGGCTTCAGAGATCGTAAAACAAGTTCGTCTCTGTATACTTCTACCTGACTTCAGCCAGAAAAATTCGCTTAGAGGCTCTCGGCCACCAAGCAATAGCCCTGTGATAATTGTCCGAACAATCATCACATACATATGTCTAGTGGATTTCAAGGGGCTCTAAGCCACAAGAATATTCACAGATATTTGAGACATTTTCGAAAAATATATATGATTACAATGTATCATCGAAGTAACCTAGTGATCATCATGAATTCAGTTTCGTCAAGTACTCATTGTACGTCAGAGAGTAAGTGTGCTCGGTTCGAACTTTCCATATCACCTTCCATTGCATCTTTGTACCCACTAAGAAAAAATATAGCAATAATCTTCCGCTAGGGGAAGCAGAGACACATTTCCACAAACTTAAAAAATTTATCAAATCAATAAAAGTTGCAAATGTGCCATTGTATGTTTTGTTCAAGACTCACATACCTTCAAAATGAAATGAATATTTGTCTATATGCATAATCAACTGCATATTGTTATCCATTTTGTGTGAAAGGAATTGGAAACTTTCAATTACACAAAATAATGTCTGAAACAAAACCAATGAATCAGGAGGGGTGAAAGAACTTACAGTCACAACTACACCACATGAATAAACAATTCAATAATAATTAATGCTTCATCATCAGCAAATTTAGAAAAAAAACATCTTTGAGGAAATACAACGCTTATGTTAGTGTTGAAGTATTGTTGAATGTCCAAATATACCTGCCATTATTGGTAGAAGAAAATCACTCAAAAAACTATTTTCAACGGCGCATAGTGCGGGTGGATAACTGTTAGAGAACAGACATTATAACAGCTCTATAAGAGCCTTGTTTTCAAGAATAGTTCGATATGAGGCAAAGGTTAAAGGGAACCAACATGTGGGTCTGAATTCGTTGAATCAAGTTAACTGATCACAATAATTGACAATCGACAAATGACAATTGACAATAGACAATAATGACGCTGAGGACAAAACACAACATCAGAATGACACCTGTCAAGTCAGAGCCAAGGAATGTGTTTAATATCAGTAATTTTATCAAAACCACCATCACTCTAGGATGTGCCTCAGTCAACACAAAAGATGAGCTTGCTAATCTAGAAAAATCTGGTGTTTACACATAGAATTGTGAAAAATGATGATTGTATAGTTTGTTCCATTAGTTGAACAGGTCGCAAGTTCAAAACCAGAGTATCAGAAAACAATCGTATCATAGAAAATAATGTTTAAAAAGATTATTTTGAGTCCAATTCGGTTTTTCCTGACCAAATCATCATTTGTTTTTCTATCCCAATTCTGATATAGGAATTTCACATATCTGTGACAAAGGAAGCAAACCCAATTAAACTCAATTCGATAGTCTCAAATCATTCAACTCCTTATTATTTCAACTACAATTCTGTTTTGTGTTCTATGTCACTTCGAATCAAAACATTCCTTGGTTTCGACTCGACTGGTGTCATTCTGATGTTGTGTTTTGTCCTCGGCGTCATTATTGTCGATTGTTATTTGTCGATTGTCATTTGTGATTAGTTAACCTAATTCAACAAATTCAGACCCACATGTTGGTTCATTCTAACATTTGTTTCATATCAAACTATTTTTGGAAAATAGGCGTTTATAGAGCTGTTATAATGTATGTTTCCTGGCAGTTACCCACCTGCACTATGCGCGGTTGAAAATAGTTTTTTCATGTTGTTTAAGTTATCTTTTTCCACCAATGATCTACCATCATATTTTTATATTATATATATATATTATTGGCAGAACAATCATACATCCTGTATCAACTCCGTAGATTCAGTAATCATTATTTTAGTGGTACATGATGTCATTGTCAATTGTTTAATAAATAAAATAACTTGTCAATCACTGTCTTCAGAAATATAAAATATCATTTTTATCCATTGAAGACGTAACAGTTTTGGCGACGAGGTAATGGAAGAATTCAAAACAGCAATACTCGAAGTCATGAAGACTCAGCAACATATTTTTCTTGACCAGCAGCAAAGACTTCTGGATCAGCTAGCCCAATCATTTTCAAAAGTTAATGATAATAGTGAGGTACGCATGGAGTCACTGGCGAGTGCAATCACAGAATTCGTTTATGATCCTGATAGTGGTTCAACATTTGAAGCATGGTATGTTCGATATGAAGGCCTTTTCATGGTTGATGCCAAAGAACTCGATGAAGCAGCGAAGGTTAGGCTCCTTCTACGTAAATTGAACACCAGTTCTCATAAACAGTACGTTGATTATATTCTACCGAAGGAACCGAAAGATTTCAACTTTTCTGCAACAGTGGAAAAGCTGAAGAAAATGTTCGGACGTAAGATTTCACTTTTCAACACTCGCTATAATTGTATGAATATGACAAAATCAGCTTCTCAAGATTTTGTTGCATATACAGCCAACATCAACAAGCAATGTGAAGAGTTCAAGATCAACACTATCACAGCAGATACATTCA